AAATAATGAAAAATAATGCACGAAAACAAATTCATATTAATTTAGAAACAACAATACTAATGTTTTACCTCAGAAGAGTTTTCAATAGGGTTCAATGCAGCGCTTTCTTAATTTTTTTCCAGAGCTGCATATAAAATCTCTCACCGAAATATCTTTCTCAAATTGTTTTATAATACCTCTTAGCTCAGTAAAATCAAGATCTATCATTGATTACAGCTGCAAACTTTTCTAGCCTGAATAAAATGAAAATAATTAACTAACTGACCAAAACTCAACAAATCAGGAAGATAAGCTGACATGGTGTCTAAGAACTATTAATTATTTCTCAACAATTACAGATTCAAACATTATATATTCGTTTTATGTAAGTGTTAATTATTTGCAATGTATACCATGTTGCCATAAACTGGAAAAGACCCAAGCGATAACCGTGTGATAAAGTTAAGGGTGTTTCCAGACATTATGGTTCAGGATACTCAATTAGATCGGGAACCAAACTTTAAACATTTGTTATGTGTTCAGTTTGCGCGTTTCTTTTTCACACCATAATGTCAGACGACCCAAACGCTTTGAAAAACTCGGGCGACATTCACAACTATGTGGTTGAAGAGCCACGGAGGGTGTAGAGGTAAACCTTGTGTTAAACCATTACATAAGAATGTTGTAAAGTCATTATGTTGTAAAGTCATGATGATTACTGTTTAACCTCACAACAGAGCTGCTTTCTCTCAGTCAGAGAGTTTAAGTGAAAACTTTTCATCCCTGAAAGGTGAAGGTAATGACTAGTGGTTAAAGCATTCTGTGTTATCCAGCTTTCGGATACTGGATCGTCTCTCTGAGCAGCACAGCTCGCTAATATTAGCTGCATAAATCAGCACTTCTTTGTGTTTTTGGCACTCACTTTGTCAAAGTCAGACTCCGCCTGAGTGGTGTTGGGACTTAGCTGGTTGTGTAACCTTGGGTCTGTGACGGCTTTATCAACATCGAAGCCGAAGAAGAGCGCTTTGAGAATCACCTTTAAAACAGCAAACATGTCCAACATTGTAGAAAGAACAAAAAAAGGTAAATGGAAATGTTCACATCTTTACGGTTTAGGTGAGAACGTGTTTTACCTGAGCGATGGAAGTAGTGATTTTTGTTCCTCCTGAACCTCCGACTACCATTTTGACATTGTTGTTTTTGTCAAAAAGGATTGTTGGACACATAGACGACATCGGCCTTTTCCCTGTTAACAGAATGCAAGGGTTAATTATACTTACAGATAAATAAAAACAAAGCAAATTACCTGCTATTTTCTATTTTGTCCAAGCCAAAGTAAATGTTACTTCATACAAATAAACTACATGTTGAACAGTTTTATTTTCAAAGTGTCATTTTTTTTTGTAATACAACTCATGTAGTTAACATAAATTTGAAGGAGGATGTTGGAAAAACTGAAAAAAACTAACATATTTTAAGCCTTGGTGTTTTCCCATCAAAAACTTAAATTAGAAAATAATATATTATTCCCCTCCACAGTTCTGAACTTTTATACTTGTCAGATAAAATACTTATAAAATACACAGAAACTTTATAGTAGTGTGACAAAATGTCTCCAAGGTCAAAGGGCATGAATAATAGAAGCTGAAATTTGATTAACGAGTTATAAGCTGCCTGTGATCGGATGAGCCATAAATCATTACGTGATTCAGCATTTAGAAAAGTGGTGTGAGGTTTTAATAATCAGAACCATCAATCACTGAAGTGATCAATCATTAATAAACAGAAGGAAAATAGAGCTTTGCAAAACGACATAACCTGATAACATTTAGGCTGACTTCCAAGTAAAGTTACTTAAGAATTAAGATAAAGAGCCATCCTCCTGAAACACATGCTCCACCTTGATAAATGTCAAGGTGGAAAAGTGAGCAGAAGGGAGTTAATTTAAAAATTATCTGATCTTTACAAAGCTTTATAACTGTTTCAATCTAACCTCAAGCTTTAAGTTACCAAAGTCCTCGAACGGAGCTTATTCTGGTAGAGAAGTATTAGATAAATACGGATTATTTAAGAGAATAATCTGTATTAGTTTCAACTCAACAACATCACACCCATATTCTGACTCACTAAACGTCTTTGATTTGTGCAACAAATCTGCTGTGAAGTTCATCATTGGATCAGCTAGAAGACCCAGGACATGTGAAGGACCATGACCTTCACAATGGTGGAAAAATTCATTATGAGGCAAAACATTATGACTGTCTGATGGTCATGGTCTTTACTCTTGAACTCTCTCCAGATGAACCTTTGTGGGCTGCACTCAGGTTAGAGGTTGTTTTTCTGCAGCTGCTCAGGAACCAAACTCCCTCTCCAATGTTTAGGATTTCCTTATATTTGATATAAAACTCATGTGTGGCTCTGTCTGTCAGAGCCAACTTACACAGATTTAGACCAACCACAATAACTTCATTTTGGATAAACAAATAAATATGACGGTCTTTCATTCCTCTTCATTTTTACACTAATATCCTATTTAAATTTTCTAATCATTGTTTCCACTAACTTTACAACTGTCTTGGTGTTCTTGTTGGTTCACTGTTGCTGTTTTCCAATCTATACTGTATAGATAACATTTACTGACTGCAGCAACATTTCAGAGAGTTATTATGTCATTTTGAAGCTTTGGTTTAGTTGTTCTCGAATAATTAAAATAGCTTAAATAAAAGTATTAAGCATACTTTTGCACCCTCTGATCCATTTTAGATACACAACTTACACCTGCACAAAAAGTTAAACATCTACCTGGCTTGATGAAGTTGCTTGGGGAAGGAGGAACATCGAACCCATTAATGATATATGGCGAGCTGAAGTCATCCATCTCATTGTTAAGAATGATTCCTGTAGATCCTGACATGACTTTGGAGCCCAAACTGCAGGAAGACAATAACTGATCAGATATGAAAGGGACAAGAGCTACAACAGATTAATTAGGAGGTCTTACTAGTGGTTGATGGTGCTGGTGGCAGCCACCGCACTCCCATCCTCTGAAACGACGGACAGGTGAGACGTCCCGTGGTTTTCAGGAAGCCAGAACTGTGGCTCGTAGTACTCCATGGGATGGGTGGTATCATCCGTAATCTTCGCCCGCATGACGTCAGCATACGAAGTGGAGGTCATGTTCTTGATCAACTTTTGGAAGAAAACAGCTGATTAAGTTGAGAACTGTGCTAAACAAACAGAACAACACAGAGCTATAAGGTGTTTGCTTATCTTGCTCCCTAAGTTACTGTGAGTTTGAGTCTTGTGCTTTTTGTTCATTTAGTTTTGTTTATCTTATCCTCATGTTCTCCAAACCTTGTCAGTTCATCAAACCACTAAGAAATTTCCAAACATTAAGGTCTTTGTACATTTTGGACTGAATGTCGGTAAAGAAATGATTTGGCTTTGGATAAAAAAGAGCAATAACAAGCTTTTGTCAGCAACTTAAATACAACCTGCGTTTGCTAGCAATGGATGATTTAGTCCTAACTAGACTGGAGTCATTTAATTGAGTTGTGACACACATTTCTTCTCTGTTCTGTAAAAATGTAGCAGGGATACAAAGTTCTTGAGTCACCAGGTTGTGCAATCTGCAGATTGCCATGTTTCCGAGATTCCCTTCTTATCTACAGCAAGCACATGTGGCTTACTTTGTTTCATTTTCTTTCTGTATCAATTCCTAGACAGGTAAAAGGTCAACTTTAACCTCCCATGCCCCCACCACTCTATTAGTCACTGCACAACAAAAACGAACATACTTCCCGTAACTTACATCTTCAATCTGGAGAAACTTTGGATCGCCAAGCAAAGTTCTCTTTGCATAAGCGAAGCGAAAGGCCTCCACAATGCGGTGGAAAGTTAGGATCTTTTTCTCCTTGGTCGCCATGCTGTCTGCGCTGAAGTTGTATCCTGCAGACACACATAACCGCAATTAGAGCTTGATTAAAACTAAGGATTTCGTAATCTATTTGTATACTTTTGGGTTCAAATACAAATTGACTTGGCGCGCAATGTGTTTTCATTTAGTTCCACATGTGTGCTACGCCGAGGTGAAAGCCCCAGAAGGAAGACAGTTCAGGACTTTTTCGGTCTTAGCTTCGGGACAGAAGCAGGCGTCACGGCACATCAGAGCGCTTTATTCTACGCTGACTGAAATGTGAGTCAAGCCTGAACAAGTCATCTGTGTCCAATTAGAAGTAAATTAGTGGGATTACTGTTCGGGTGTCTGAGGCAGTGGGGTACAGTGAGTGGGCGGCCAGTCAAAGGGAAAGGGAGCGGGTTTTGATGATTAATTATTTTAGAGGAAAGTTTCTCTAATCCTCAGTGGCAGATACTGTCACTGCTCCGACACGAAGCCGAGGCAGCGTGACGGTGTCTTCACAGACCAGCAGCTTGAATGTTACGGCCCAGCCAGCAACAAGCTAAATCAGACAGATGACGTCAGCAGAACAAAGAAAAAGGTTTTCAGTTCGAAAACAAGTAGCATTTTAATAATCAGCGCTTATTCCACATCTAAGCCCATATAAGGGCAAATAGAGCGCATCCCTGTTAAAAATCTGTGTTTTTCACCAGCTCCCAGTTACATAACCCATCCTATTTCTGGTTGAATTAAGAGAAAAGACCCTTTAAAGAGAGGATTTCCTGTACACGTCCCTCAGAGCCGACTCCTTTCTGTGAGAGCGGCTGGAAGGCAGCTCACGCTGCAGCACATTTTCTCCCACTCAGGATGTTTTTGGACGGCGTAATAAGGCTTACCATTCAGGATGTTTAATATCAGCGATAGCACAGGGCCGCTAGCGGGGGCATTGGGAACAACCATGGCGTACTCCCCCACATTCACCCTTAAAGGGCTTTCATCCAAGACAGGCTCATAATCCCTCAGATCTTCCTTTGTGATGATGCCGCCTAAACATGGATTGACAAACACTGTGAATACATTTCTGAGCAGAAAAGGGGGAACAAATTCTCCTTATCCTGCAAATAGGAGGCGCAGCGAAGCCCGTAGAGCAGAAATTAAATAAAATGCAGACTTTTATCTGAAGATGGAAACATTGGGTTGAATTTGAAACTTTTGTGGCATTAAGAGTTACTGCACAAGATCATTTGCAACAGATTCTAAGAAGGACTTGGAACAGGAATCCTTTGATTTTCCAGAATAGACAACATCTGTTACTTGAAACTTCTTAAAAGTCAAGTCAGCTTTTATAAAACTGGTTAATTACAAATACTGCTGACTTTTTAAAGATTTTTTTTTGCAACTACATCCACAAACTTAAATATTATTTTTTGGGTTTTTACGCGAAAGATCAAAGAAAGTATGAGACGACTTTTATCATGAAAGGATTTCTGATGAGTGGCAGCATTATGCTGTGGGGACAGAGATGCCGATTAGTTGATGGAAAGGTGGATGGAGCAAAATACAGAGAAATCCTTAAAGATAAAAACCTGTTTGAGGCTGCAAAAGTTTTTAATTTGTAGCAAGAAAATTATCCTAAACACACAACATGAGCTGTAGTGTAATGTTTTAGCTCCAAGCATTTATTTGTGTTAAAAGTTCAAACTCAGTTGAACTTTTTTGGGGGGCCAAGATTTGAAAATTGATGTTCACAGATGATCTCCATCAAATTTAAATGATATTTTCAGCCACAAAAAAGGAAAGAAAAAGCACAATCTCCAAATGTAAAGATAGAAAGTGTTAATACAAATACATGCCACTTGTTTTGTGTTTTTATAGTCTATTTGTTTTTTTGGATCAGCTTTGCTAAGACACTATATAATAACATCCTGTTTTCTCCATCCAATCTGCTAAAGCTATGCTGCTTTGCAAACAAGAAAAGACAGAAATTTCAGACTCTTTGTCTAGACGTAGCCCGAAAAAGACCTTTTTATATTTTAAAAGTTCATGGAACATTTCCTTCCACATTACTTTGTCTTACAACTACTTTACTACATAAAACTCCAATAAAATCTAATTAAGTTTGAGCTTTTAGCACAACAAAGCGAAAGCTATTTCAAGGGGAAATGAGTACTTTCACAGGTTGCTGTGTGTAGCAACAATATGAAATGATTTAATAGTAAGAACCAACGATACCTGCAGCCTGAATATCCTTCACAAGCTCATCTGACAGTTGTCCTGTATAAAACTCCTCTGCTCCTTTCTCGGCGATTTTCCTGTATGTTCCTGCCAGCCTGGTGAATTTAATGATGTCATTTTCTTTCAACACGCTGCCGTTTTTCGCGCAAAACACTTCACTGAAAGAGGACAAGCAAGATCATGTCAGACAGAGAACGTTATCTATGAAGCAGAGAGCTAAATAAAGGTGATGTCTCTCACCAGAGGGCTGTGTCATTCACGATGAGTTCCTTGTTTCTATCAATCGCGATCGCCATCGCCTTGCCCATTGGAAATCCTTTCTCTGCAAGCTCGATGCTTGGCTGAAACAAATCTTTCCAGGGCAGTTTGCCATATCGTTTGTGGGCCATGTCGTAACCCCGAAGCTCTCCGGGAACAGCGATGGACAACGCTCCTAAAGACCAAGAAACGGTTGAAAAGTTTAGATTTTTAGGGGAGCTTTCACTCATCTTATTTGATCTTTTTGTATTTCTGAACAGAAGAAACGTCCTATAAATAAATCTGCGTGCTTTGCAGTTACAAAATGTCTAAACATGAAACAGCAATCAACAATTTATTGGGGGGCAACATCCCATATCAAGATATACAAGGAGAATAAAGGGCAGTTCCAAATCACATTTTAAGGCAGGAGGACCAATAAACGTCAGCTTATTTCCATTTCTACGTTTGGACATTACCTTTCTGGGATAAATTTGTGTCGTTTTTAAACATGTCCTGCGTTGCATTGTGGGGCGCCGTCTCCCGTGCATCAATTACCTCAACCTTTCCTGCATAGAAGTCACATAATTTCCTTCAGTTTGTTTGATTTGTGGAGATGCAGAGATGTGACAAGTCTTGTGGTGAGAAATGTGTGTTGTACCAGTTTTTGCATCATAGATGGTGAGGAAAAGACCTCCTCCTATGCCCATACTGTGAGCATTTATTAATCCAACACATAGCAGCGACGCTATTGAGGCATCCACTGCAGATCCTCCTTTCAGGAGAATGTCCCTACAGTGCAAACAATTAAAAAAAAAACACATAGAGACAGCTTTATTCTCTGCGTAGGTGGTCACAGTCGTAACTCAAACAGGTTTTTATATCAATGTTGTCGAAACAAGCTCTCACCTGCCAACCTCTGAGCAGGGGCCCGCATCTGCTGCTACTGCTGCTTTCCAGGAGCCATTGGCTCTGTTGCTCTTCAGGCCAAAGAAAACACCCAGAAATATGGCGAGGCATGCTAACAGCAGCACTGCAAGGGCCACTATTATTACTTTCTTAGCCATTTTGAATCTTCGGGGAACCTAACAATTTGTCTGGAGAGGGGAACAAAAGACAAATGTAAATGTGAAACATTTGCTTTGTCATTTGACTTAAAAAAAAAAAAAAAGGCTGGACTTATTTGAATACAGTCATTGGTAACAAAGACTCACAAGTCAAGTCAAATCAGTTATTGTCATGATTCACTTGTGTTTGTTTAATATTCCTGGATTTATTTTTGACATCAAGATTTCAGTTCATTTCTGTTTTCAGTATTGTTGTTGGAGTCTTACCACATAGTTTATACTTTGTGTTTAGTCCAGCTCTTTCTCCTTGGTATTCTCACCTGGACCAAGTGTCCTCTCTACCCTCTCCTCGATATTTAAGCTCTTTCATTTTTATTGTTTCCCACTTTTTTAATGTAATTTCTTAAAATCATTCTGCATTTGGATCTTACTGCAAACCCATTCAATTGATTCTTAATGTGATAAAAAAAAAACTTTGAGTTTAGCTTTGTGTGTAACTCAAAACAGAGGAGAGATGTTATCATTAAAAACTGAATCGAGAAACTGCCGTAAACACATAACACATCTGTTATTCATTGTTCATCATCCATTTATCTAGTATTATTACTTTTCTCGCTGAGTTGGTTGTTCATCTGCATATTGAGAATAATATTATGAATTTTTGGTGAGGTTTTTATTACACTCAAATGTTTAGGTGCCTCTGACTAATCAGCAATGAAACTGTAACAAAGAAAGCCAATTATTGGGGATATGTTTGTATTTCTCTCTTTATAAAGAGTCATGGTAACATAGAATCATATATTGCAGATGTTTTAAGCAACTCAACATAGAAATATAAACTCCTCCCTGATTAAAGAAGACACTCTTTCCTACTTTACAGAAAACACAGATTAAGCTGTTTAGGGATATTTCTGGTGGCAACAAAAAACAAAGTCATGATGTGAAATCAAAATAGCGCCACCTATAGCTGTTATGAAGGTAATGCTGCATTGACAGCGACATATTTCTTGAGCAGCTTTTCTACCTTAGCAGATGGTTTGCATAAATAAGCAGCTAATATCAGCTTGTGTTACTATAAAAAGAACAAAAATGGAAAAAAAATAAAAATATTAGACAAGTACGACTGAATTTAGCAGATGTTCATTATCTGTTTTTGCTTAAATCTTAAATATTACAACAGATACTAATCATAACGAGCTAGAGAGTTTTAGCCACAGCAGGAATCAGTGTTGTGTTAATGTTCGAAACATTAACGCAACAATGTTTCGTCTGAATATTTCTACTTTCAGGAAATGAGAAGTAAGCAGCAGAGCTACTCTAATTGGAAACATCAAATATAAATGTATTTATCTCTTTTGAACTTTGTGAACTACATTTGAAGTTTCAGTCAGTCACAGGTCTGCAGAGGAATATTTGAGATCTGGGAGTCACTGTACCATACTTGCTGTGCTTTCCAAAGCCCAAATGACACCAAAAAATAAATAAATAAATAAATAAAATGTCTGGAGTGTTTCAAGTTTATCCCCTAAAACCGTCAGGCTGATTCTTTGCTCTGTCACAGAAGTGTACCCAGATTATGTAACAGGGGGGTGAGCTGATTTAGTTGAACCAGGGTTGCATGCTGCTCTACAGAAATCACTTACAGGAAGTAAGTTTCTGATTTTCACATCTGATACTATCAGGATGGCTCTAATTATTCAGTTTTTAGTCTAACAAAACCATAAACAAATTGAGGGAATTGTTTACCTCTTTAAAGATAAAAAAAAGGGAAAATCTCTTACCCTGGTTCTCCTTGGAGCTTTTGCTGCAGGCTGTGCCTGGTTTGCCAGCAGCTTATAGGTGATGCATTTATATCACAGTCATTAAACTTTAACCCATCCCACAATAAACCCTCTAACCTGAGTCATCATTAGTGGTAAACAAGGACAGACCGAACAAGGAGAAACAACCCAGAAAAACAGCCTAAAAGTTATTTTGTTCACAATGTTCACTTTGATGAACCCAGGCTCAGTTACTGCAACACCCTGAAACATATGGAGTAACACGACCTGCAGGCAAAAGTTTTTCTTTTATCTACAGTGATACTTAAAGAGATGTGTGACAAATATTAACTTTCAGAAGCGTCTCTTTGTTAGTCATTCACTTTAAATGGATGATGTAGGGAGAAAACGTTTTGCAATGGTTGTGTTGCACAACTCTACCCAGGAAAAATAGGGGGAAAATACTCAGGGGGAAAATAGGGATTTCTTTATAATAAAATGTTTCACAAGCCTTTTCATGGGGGAGTTTTAGATAAAGTGCACACTAAATGAGAAAATAAATAAATAAATAAAAAATAAAAGCTTTCATGAAGGTGAGGGAAAGGATCACATCTCCTGAGTGAGGAGGGGAAAACGATGCTAAAACTGAATTGTTTGAAGACGAAGCCTGCAGTAAATAAGCAACCAGACCAGCTGGCGTGGACACCATCAGGGACATTTGACTGTGAGCTTTGGCATCAACACTTTTCTGTCTTATCCTGTGGTAACTAACTCATTGCTCTCTGAACAACTAATGTCTAAACCTGATGATTCCTCCACCGCTTCTACTCTAAGCTCAGACGCCACGTGAAGCTTTGCCTGTCAATAGTTGAGACAAGCGGCTTAGAGGAGGAATAGTTCAGATAAAATCACAAAGAATGTCATTTTTTGATGTAATTATATCTCATTGTAAGAGATATCATTACTCTGCCACCGTATTTCCACCTTTAGTATGTTACAACCACATAACTTAAAGCTGCAGGAGGTAACTTTTATGAAAATGTAGTTTTATGCATCTGTTAAAATGTCCTGCCAGTCGAACAAATGAAAGAGAATCTATAAAAATAAAATAATGCTCTTCCACTTTCTTCTTGTAGTAGGAGAGTCTTAGTATGTCATTAATGCTTTTGTACACAGTCCTCACAGATTTGTTAATGGGATTATGTAACAGACAAAACATATTGTTTGTTGTTCAGTGAAAGAAAAATGGTGCAAAGTTCACTTTTTTAAATGAAAAAATAAAATATTAAGTTCACCTTTATGTGATTTATCACACAGACCACATGTGTCAAACTCAAGTCTGGCCTCAAGACTGTATAGACCACACCAATAAAACTTCGAGATAATAGCTGCGTGTTTAGATATTACTTATTATTTCAACTCAAATCAACTTTTATTTGCACAGTGCCAAATTATATTAATGAAAAAAGTCATATTCTGTAATATTTTAAGAGTTTATCAGGTAGTTTTATTAATACTTATAGCACATTCATAATTTTGATGTTAAAATGAGTCTGACACCCCTGACCAAGGCCAAGAAAAGGAAAGATCAGGAATGCAGTTGTGGAGATGTTTAAAATAAGAGCTATGCTATAAAAAAAATATGTCTAACGTTGTTCGTTTCACAGAGCAAGCATCTTCCCAAAACGGAAAGAGTGACACGACTGCAACCTCAGCAAGATCTGGGGGTCCATCTCTACTGTCAGCCCTGGTATTTAGAGACGCAGCTAATAGTGCCATGGTAACTTCTGGATGAACTGCAGAGATACACAACCCAGGTGGAAAAAAGTTGTAAACAGGACAGCTATTAGCTGTCCACAAATCTGGCCTTTACAGAAGACTGACAGAAAGAAGGATCTTAAAAAAAAAATAAAAACATTCAGCGCATTACCGGCTACAATCCAGTTCTTAAAACTATTTTTAGAAACATTTTTTAAAGATAACTTTATGAAAAACTAGCGGCCATACAATTGCTAACAAACTGTTTATCATAGTTTTCCATTTTTCAAGTGATGCAAATTGTGAAATTTTAACTCCTTGCTTGTTACATGCAATGTGACACAACTCTGTTTCTCCTTGTTGCACAACTCAAAGCAGAAAGTGTGTTTAGGATGTCCAATGTGTGAATTTTTTTTTTGACTCAGCATTGACTGAGCAGCAGGTAATTCAGCAAAGGGTATTTTTATGGGGAGGTAATTGTATCCCTTTTATGACACGCCATAAAGTCATCCCGACCTTGAGCAATCACTTTTTTCTAGCCGAACAGCTGAGAGTCACTGAATAAAACCATAAAAACAAAAGAAGAGAAAGGTGTGCTTGCAAAACAAATATTACATTACAAAATTAAGCATAAAAGTTAGGTATTTAACTTTTTATGCTTAAAAAGTTAAATATGATGGGGGCAAGATGCAATTAGAAACTTGTGTACTGTTAACTAAAATAAAAACTCACAGTTTGCTCAATGCGTGAAGTTTAACGAGGAGGCATTACGCAGTTTCCAGACATTTATCATAGTTTTCCATTTTATAGCACAACTAAGTAACTATGTTACCTTCAGTCAGACGAAATATGAGACAATGGGAACATTTCAAAAAGAGGATATGACTGATTATGTACTTGATGTGCTGCTGCCTCTTCTGCCCCCTCCAGCAGAACTTTGGGCTGAAACTGTTTCCTCATTTACTGACGTTGGGTCGGCATGGTCAAGCGGCAGAGATGCGCTCATCAGTCATGATGCTGGCAATCGTCACGGAGTGATGAAACTGAAATTCAAACATACTTTATTGGCTTGTAAAGATTTAATTAGACTTTCACACATAGCTTCAAACCAAGCAAACTTTCAGTTTTGCAGGTTTGTTTCTGTTTCAGTTGTATTGTACAGGATAAATGTCACATTAAAGGTGATGAAAGGAAGGAAATGATGTACCTCAGTCTTATTTTTACCACAATACATTCAGGTTATTTTCAACAGTGGTCCATACACTTGAGAACCAGGCAGAGAGGTGTTTTCCTCTTCTCCTTCCCCTGTGTATTTCTCCGTGTGCTTCCTTATTAACACAGTTCACATCCTGCACACAAAGAAATCACAACATCCTGACGCATCCATCTGTGCTGCATAGGTGCAAAGGCAATCAGGAGGCTGCACTGTAAATCAGCTCCTGTGCAGGTATTCAGGAGGCAGGTCTTCACAGACACATCAATATGATGCCAGCTTTATGCTTGACAGTGCACAGAAGAGAAGCTGTGTGGGGGGCAAATTAGCTTTAGGTATTCTCACACCTGTGCCAGGATTTTCTTTTGAGTTTAAAAAATGTTTTTCGACTGAGCTAATCTGAGCAAACAACGGACGGCCGAGCCTACGGATAAAACTGGAGAGCATTAAACTTTATTTCCTTTAGAGAGCACCAGCCACATTTCTATGACTGATTGTAGAAACAAATGCATTTGCAGATGTATCCAATTCACTTTGTGCCGCCGTTATCAGGAATGACAGATGTCCCTTACAGGGGATGGTTGTCCTGTGTAAAATTTATCACAAGTACATGTTTTTCAGCTCAGAGAAGAAACCAACAGAGCGGCACAGACAAAATGTAACCTTATCAGCAGGAAAATACAACACTAATAGAATTAAAATGAGCCCTGCTCTCTTCCTGGCTCCACTGGTGGATTTATTTTCACAAAACAAAACAAAAAACATTACTCAGGTTTCAAAATTTGCTTTTCACAACTTTTTTAGTTTAAGGAAAAGTGTGACAGAATGAGAAGGATTTATCTGTTTATAGAGTGAACTGATATAGATCAGTTCACTCTGAGACAATGCTAAACACTGATTGCTTGCCCATTTGAAATCAACAGTTTGTGATTTTTTGTTACACGAAGAAGTTCATATGATGCAGCTTTTAAGTTGAAGGCTATCGATCTGGCAGTACATAAACTCGGCGTGAACGAATCCATGGTTCGGCGCTGAAGCGGCGGAAGTACCAGCAGCTTATATATGTACGTTTCCAGTTTTTTTTTTTTTTACTTTTAGTGAGGGGCACTCTATCGTCCGGAAAATACGGTATATTAAATTACCTTACATCAGTATGAATCCACTCAAGTATCTGTTTCACTCTACGTCCCAAAAATCTTCTCTTGGCGATCGGTCTGCAGAAGTCCGCCATGTCTGTGTTGTTCTTTACCAGTTTGAATCCAAGGAAGATGAGACTGAGTGACAATAGTGGTCATTTATTGCTATATATTTTTTTAAATCTAACTTTCTAATTATGTTATATTATTTTAAGTTTACTGCACTTTCTGTAATATAAAAGGTATTTCAGTCTTCAGTCGCAGTTAGACCAAAATGATCATGCAGTCAATAAAATGTGGACTAAATAGCCTTTCTGGTTCTTGACCCTGTTATTTGCAAGAAGGACAATTTGGCACCAGCCGTGTTTAAAGATGATCAACAGTACTAGCATGAAAGTGATATAATGTGTTATCTAATATGTAATAATTGGTTGGAGTAGCTCATGTTTGAAGGCTTTATTTTCTTTTGTTTTATATTTCAAATGTTTGGCATGGTTAGAGCCTTTTGCAAACAAAATGTGTCACTTTGACCATGAGTGTCGGTGTTTCGGCCTGCGTGTTAACTGTTTTGAAAATGTGAGGTTGACGGCTTCATTAAAGCAATCGAGAAAAATGTAAACAAATGTTTGAGTTTCCTCACAGACATTTATTCAGCTCTGCAGGTCTGGTAACGAACCATTTATTTGACTCAGGAATGGACTGAAATAAGGAAAGAAAACCAACTCAGTTCATTAAATAACTTCAAAGTATGTTTTGCTTCATGTAAACAAAGAAAATCTTCTCAGTATTTGTGTTTGTATTTTTTTAATTTCAGTTAATCACAAGTTACCTGGAATACATGAGTGTTTTGGAATATAAAATTGGAGTATCTCCACAAAACGATGACATGTTTGATTACATTTCACTGTATCTTCCCTTTGCCCATTTGTCATCAATAAAACCAGATAGAAACTGCATAAAACTGGAGAATCCAGGAACAAAAGTATTTAA